ACCTAAACCTAATCTCTGTCAGTTTGAAGCTGTTCTCCCTTGTTCTGTCACTCCAGGCCCTTTGTAAATAATCTCCATTTTTCTTGTAGGCTTCTGTCACGTGGTGGGAGACTGCAGGTCATACCTAAGCCATCTTTGTTCCAGGCCAAACAGTCCCAGTTCTCTCAGCCTTTCCCCATAGGAAAGGTGTTCCATACTTCTAATCAGTTTGGTGTCCCCAGTACATTTTCATTGTGTACTATTTGAATGGGAACTGTAGTAAGGCCATAGATCCTGTTTTCTCCTGCTCATGGTTGGATCATCTCATTTATTCCTTTCTCCTGCTAGTGGTTGGATCACTCATTAATTCCTGAACATACAATTTTATCTTTGCTTGGAAATGGAGAAGGGTTGTTTTATCTTCTGAATTTATTAGTGCTTGTGTGGCAAATGCAAATATTTGGATGTTGCCATGAATAAAGCCAAAGTTTACACGTGCTTCTTCTGAGGCTACAGAGAGGAGAAAATAAACAGATCAAAAGGTGGCTAATTTTCCCTCCAAATTTATCTTCACTAAAATTCAGTATTAGTCAGTTGATGAGATTTGCCTTGTCAAAAAAAAAAAAAAAATTTGTGTAATTTAGCTTTTTGCTTTGAGTGTAGGAAGTTATCAAAGTTTACAGCACTGTCGTGAAACTAATTTGGGCACCGTATCTCTCTGAGCAGATAGTAGTGTAAATCCTTTTCTGCTTCACTGGTGCTGCCACAGCTACTGAATATGCTATTGTGTGAGGTTATAAACCAGATAATCTTAATTGGGCATTTCCTGAGAGCAAGGAAGGGATGGCTGAAAAAGGAGAGAATTGGAAATAAGGGCGTGCATTCCTAATACACAAATTTGGCTTCCATCCAGGAAAATGGGAGAATTTCCTGTTAGTTAAAATCTTCCAAGAGCTGAAAGCCTGAAGATATATAGTGCATACTTCAGGGAACCAGAGGAAAGGGAAAGGCTGGGAATAGTTCATGCATGAAAGCCCCAGGGAACACTCTGCTGTGTGATGTGGTGGGACTGAGGGGTGTGAGCAGCTGGATCCCAGGACAGCCATAGCATGAGTGAACTATCTCCTTGGTGTGGCCAAGGATTTCGGGTACCCTGCAGGAGCTGTATCAGCAGAGTCTGGTGTTGAGGATCAGGTTCTGGAGGCATTTTAGAGTTGAATCAAAAGCTCTTTGGGCTCCATGGAGAATGTGTGTGTCCATGTATGTCTAACACTGCAGATATTCCTGGAGTTTTAACTCACTAAACTGGAGGATCTCTGCTAGACAAAAGATGTGGAATGTGTCACGTAAATTTGGCAATAGGATGGCAAGCAGAAATGGGTACAGGCAAATTTGAGAGAATTGAGGTGGATTTCTTAGCACCGGTAGTTGCATCTGGTTCTGTAAGAATGATCTGGTTTGGATCTCCATTTGAAAAGAAAGGCTGCTTATTAAACTGAAATAAAGTACAGTGAGTTGTAATTCAGAATTTGAACCTCTGCTGAGGCAAGGTTGGAAAAAAATAGGGAATCAGGAAGGAGTTGCCTTGAAAAAATACAGCAGCTTATTTACTGTTAGAAATATTAGTTGTGATCAGAATCTTTCCTCACTTGACCTGATTTCATGAGCGTACTTTAGTGTAGGTACTTCAGACACTTGTGAATACTTGTCTGCTGCCTTCTTCATGTTTAATGTTTGTTTTAGCTTATTTTGGATGGTTTTGGGTATAGCCTTTGAGTGAATTATGATTTATTATATTGTTTAAAATATCTGTGTGGTTTTAGACATTTGAGGGTCCATATTCTACAGTCACTACAGCTCCAGTTAGCCCAAGCTTCATGAAAAGTAAAGCTTTTGGGGTAAATGTAATCAGAATGAGCATTAATTGGAATAAGGAGGGTGGCTTGCTTCCTATGTCTGTCTAATACTGTATTAAATATTTCTTATCATACATAAGAGACTAAACTGTTTAGCAGTTGCACTGGAAATTGATCTCCAAGCTTCAGTCAAGGCTAACAGTTAAATAAATTTCCTATATGCCATAATAACCTGTATTAAAGGAATATTATTTAAAACAAATAAAATTTACCCATTTGGACTTTTGCAGAATAGTACAGATGCACTAAATAAGGTCCCATCTGGAATTAAATAACACAAGCTCTCTGAATACAGTTGCAATTGTTTCATAAGCATCTTAAGTGAAGAGAAAAGAAAAAAGAAAATTGAATCTCGTCTCCTGATAGTGAGTGAGGAAAAGGTTTGGTAGTAGTTGCCTTCTCTGTCACTTGTAATGAAGCAATAGAATTACCTGTGTTTCAGGGTGATAACATACTGTCATTATGACATTATAATGGCAAGTTAAACATCCAGATGTGAGAAAAGTCAGTACATAGTAAAGATGATGCAGTTACCTCAGATTTGAGAGGATGAGGGGAGGTGGTGAATTTGTGGAAGAGAAGGCCACCAGTTGGAGTTTTTAGTTGCCTTACACAGTTTCTCAGATGTTTCTGAAGATCTGTTAGTCTGTTAGCAGGTATTAAAAGAACATGTTGATCAGGTGGAAATAATTTCAGTTATACTCCTAGAAAGGGAGTGTATCCATTCTTTTAACTTCTGCATGATTTGAAATCAGTCAATTATAAATTAATGGCAACTTGTCTGCATTCAGCTGAAAAGCCAGTAATGTCTAAACCAGACAAATGCCTCAAAGCTCCATTTAAGGTATTGAGGATGACTGGTCATTTTCCTCTTAATTCATGTCACTTCTAGCTAGGGTGATTATGGATTCTCCATGTTTTTCTTCTAATTGCCACTTAGAAATTCTGTAGCTGAGTGCCTTAAACTCCTGGCCCTAAAAAAAAAGTATACTTAGATAGTTAAATCATCTCTCAGTGAGAAATGAGCATCTCTGGGCCTGGTTCTGATCTATTAAATGTGTATATGCTTGGGCAGGGGGCCTTGAACCACAGCTTTTACACTGGAATTCTGAAATGTGGATATAAACTACAAATATCTAAGTTTATAAGTCACAGCTGTGCTCATAAATTAGCAGCCAATATTTTGAACTGCTAAGAGATTGTTTGTTGGTAAACTGTTTCTTCTGTCTTTTCCCAGCCTCTGTGAACAATGAATATCCTCCAATCAGCCTTTCCAAGTGTTGTATATATATATTGTGGAAGATACAGAAATCTGTTGTAACTTGTTGTTGTAATTTATAGTGAAACTATTTTCTGTTTTGCTCCCTATCATGTTGGTGGCAAATAAAGAAATCTGCTTTACTGTCATGCCCTTGAATTGCTGCTGCCACTGTTAATGATGTTGTAATTATTTTTTTCCAAATACTCTATTTCATTTCTTTGATTCTTGCCAGACCTAGGGGCTGGAAAGCAACTTTATAGGGGAAACAAGTCATGGCTTTGTGCAGTGCTCTGAAATGCACAGAGTAAACAAACAAGGGGGTGAAGGATGAGGATAGAGTGGGAGTTGTTTTCCTGCATCACTTCACTTCTCTTGGGCCAACAGAAGAGTTTTTAAAAGGAAAAGAAAAAAAAGAAGAAGCAAAGTGGATTGTTAGCAGTGTCTCTTAGGATCATAAATGAAGGGAAGATTGTGTATGTAATTCATAAACATCCTGAACTATACGCCTTCTATTTCAACTTATTAGGGCATGAAGTAGAGCCTGCCAGGTTAATTTCACACTGGGGAATTCAGCATTCATACAGCTCTTAATTTCCTCTTCCATACAAAGCAGTGATAAGGAGAGAATAAGGATATTTGAATATTTGATTCCAAATCACTTTAAAGATAAGTATTTTAGAAGTAGCCGCAAGACAATTATAGTTGCTATTTTAAATTGAATTTGGAGAGTAGCAGGAGAATGTTTATTTGTTCCTGATAGGAAATACACTTTTTGTCTTGCAAACAAAACCCTGTACTTTACAAAAATCCTCTTTCATAGATGAAATTACTGTTTTGAGTTCAGGATGTGGTGGGCAAAGAATCAAAAAGAAAAACCGCTTGCAAATATCTTTTCTCCATTTCCCATCTGCCAAAGGAACAATTAAATTTGTTAGCATGGAACAATGATCAGTGCTCTATGTTTGCATGGTTTTAATGGTTAAGATGCTTCTAATGGTTAACAGGAGTTCAAGGATTGTTCCAGCTTAGTGCCTGCTTTTTGTTTCTGTGATGTGATAGTGGAGCATGAGCAGAGTGAATCATCTGTTGGCTCTAAATAGGGGTGGGACCAGATTTTTATTTAAATAAAACAAAACCAAGCCTCAAAATTCTTACGGAGTGAATATTTAAGAGACCCAGACCGCTTGTTCTTTTTAAAATTCCAAATGTTACTTTAAACTCAGTCATGGATGCTGACTGATGTGATTTGGGGGAGTTGGATTCCACTGGTCTAGGAAGGCAGTTTGGATGGATTCTTAAAGTTCTGTTTCAGTATCAAAAAACTCTTTTGTTTGGAGTTTTTTGTGGTATTTCTCTTAAAACACCTCAGTGATCAGTAAAGGTGAATTTCCTTGTCTTGAGGTTGGCATGACTATATATGTTAAGGAAATAATGAATTGATAATAATTAGGAACTAAAGAAGTTGGTTTTGGTGGGAATTCAGTCAGCTATTTCCCCTTCTGCATTTGAAGACCAAGCTGTGGATTTTTATTTGTTTAGAAGGGCCAATTGTGGCTTTGTATAGGATTCTTAAACCCATGTTTCATAAGCTTACCCTTTTTTTTGTTACCAAAATTCAAAACCAAGCAAACCCACTGAAAGGCAAAATCATTACGTTTGGGAATTAAAAGTGCCCAGATTGCAGAAACTAAGGCAAACTGGCATAATGAAGGTTCTACCCCTTTGTGGTGCATAAACCTCATATGGAGATGTTTTCAATATTTGTGGAGGAGTGTTCTCCTGTGAGTAACTGGTTTTGCTTTATTTGGCTCTAATCTTATTTCAATGTTCTGTTTTTGTTTTAGCACCAGCAAACATTTTTAAATCAGCTGAGGGAGATCACTGGTATCAATGACATCCAGGTACTACAACAGGCACTGAAGGTAAGATAACTGACTTGTAGCCAAATGTACCTCAATGCATCTTAACTGCTTGTAAAGCCAGAAATCCAACTTTTTCTTACTCTTGTCTTGCCTTCCTTCCTTCCTTTCCATTCCCAGTTTAAACTTATTTCGGGGGGAAAAAGCTAATAATGATGGCTTGTTCACTTTGCAAGGAATCTTGTTCTCTTTTGGTACTGACATAAAAATTGCTCAAGTGTTCAAAAATGAAAAGACAGGAATGTTACGATTTGCCTTTAACCTTTGTGTGAATTATTTTGAGATACATTGGTACTACTACAGCTGGTCAGCTCCTGAAGAATCAATTGGTGTTTTCTTATCAAGGTGTAGTTGTTTTTTATCATGTACAGGCCCTACTCAGTGTGTAGAATGAAGAACTCTGGACTTGCCAGCCTTTGCTAATTTGGTATTGTTTCACTGTTTTTTCAACCACTGTAACTTCTTTCCGAGCACAGAAGAGTTCTTTGATTCAACTAAAGAATGGCAGGTCTCTGTTGTTTCCATATACGTACATACATACATATATAAAATAGAAAACTGCATTGTCTCCCTCGAGCAGAATGTTTTAGCCATTTACACGTGGTGAAAGAAGATTTAGTAGTTAAAATATATACATTAAAAAAAATAGTTGTTTCAGATTTGGCATTAATCATATGCATGACAGCTTTTCAAAAGCCAGGATTTCTGGCTTTAAGAATGAAACTGTAGATTTTCAGAAGAATTCATCTGACTCTTGAAGTCTGTGAATGTGCTGGTTATGATCGTTGACAGGTTGACCTACACTTGAAGACCTTTATTTTTAATTTTTTTTAAAATCTGAAATAAGCAGAACTCCACCAAAACAAATTTTTATAGGATGTTTTATCTTTAATTTGGTTGAAACGAGTGTAATGTGCAGAACATGTCAAGTTTGGAAAACTTTTTCTAGTCAGTGTTTTGCCTAATTGTGCAGTAATTATTGATTCGAAATTGCTTATCATGTCCTTTGCTTTTAAAGAAAAGGTGAGGGGACTCTCACGTGCTGTGTTTTTGTTGCTTAAAGGATAGCAATGGTAATCTGGAGCTGGCTGTGGCTTTTCTCACTGCAAAAAATGCCAAGGTTCCCCAGCTAGAGGAGGCAACGTACTACCAAACTGCCCTTCCTGGGAATGACAGATACATCAGCGTGGGCAGCCAGGCAGACACCAGTAGGTATTTTTTCTTTTCATAAGTTTAGTTTAAAGGTATGGGAAATAAAACATTGCGTGTGACATAACTGTTAATCTGCAGATAATTCTTACTTATCAATTCTCAGATTATGTATTCTTTCTTTTCTTATTTCAGTGGGGGGGTTTTGTTTGGTTGTTTTTTTTTCTTTAATTTGAGCTATTTAAGCATTACTTTTACATGTATGTGTAGTACTGGGTTTTCCATCTTTGTTCCCCCATACTATAGGATTTATTTTGGGGTCACGCAGTAAATAATTAAAGGCAAAAGCTGGGTACACCTCTGCCAAAACGAAATTGGAGAAGAGTCTCTCATTGCTATATGCTAAAGCTTCATATACTTAGGAGTAGCTTCTCCCTGACAGGAATGACTTTCCCAATGGGAAAAGTGGGAGGTTAAGTGTGAATTTTGTAATAAAAGAGTAGTTAAATTAATATTAAATATAGCTGATTTTAAACAGTTTCATTTAGTTGATACAGTAGGTCCCACAACTCGCATTTCTCTAAGCCTGGCAGGTTCTAATCCTTTGCTTAAGTATATAGTTATTTTTATGGGGAGAATTGTTAAATGTGTTTTGCAGATGAATATGGGAAATAACATAGAATAAAAGTCAAAGGGATTTTAGTAGTGGATTTCTGTAAAATCCAAGTTTCTTTTTGCTGTAGTTAGTATATGGCTAAGCATACGCAATGCAGATGGAGAATATTTTGATTATCAGTTCTTTGGTCATATATATAGTACATCTATGTCGATTTCATTAAATGAGTAGAATTATTTAGTGTCACCTGCAGTAAGATTTGTTTCTTGTTTGTTTTACTCATGGTAGCTCCAATGTAAAGAAATTTAGTTAGATCTCCTTATCAATTGCACAATTATCTTTTTACCGTAGAATCTTGACATGAACTTTTTTAACTTCTTTTTTTTTTTTTTTTTAATTAAAGATGAGTTTATTCCCAGCATCTCAGATCTGAAAACTGCATTTAAATCCTCGATACTACTTAGCAGTCCTGTGTGAAGTGCCCTGAGTGCATCATAAGTTGTTGTCTTATCCATGCATTAAGCTGTGGAGGGTGGCTTGGGGTTTTTTGTGTGTTTTTTGCTTTTCACTCCTTTGGAAAGAAAACACACACAACATCCCCCATGTATTTAATGTTCAATGTTAGAAAATTGCCCTTGTGGGAATGGAGACTATTTTGAACAAACTCACCACTGTGTCATAGTTTCTAGTACTGACAACCTGGTATGGCAGTGGAATAGCAAGCTGGATTCTCTTGGAGTCTGGGTTTAATTAGATTTAATAGCAATCCCATTAATAGAAGTGTTTAGTTTTGTTGTCATTCACTGTGCTGTGCTACCTTGCTGAAGAAATGAGGTGACAAGGGATATGAATCAAGCCTGCAATAGCCTACATTACCTGTGGCTTATGGTCAAACTGAGAAGAGTAGGTCTTGTACATTCCAAGGTGAATTTCAGGATTCTCTTCTCTTTTCTGCAGGGCTGAAGGCAGATTCCCTACAGTTAAACAGCCTGATAAGTCAATAATCAAGAAGCACCAACTGGTTTTTTTGGTTTTTAACATCTTTAGTGTGTGGCCAGGTCCTCACTGGCAACAAAGATGAGAGGCCTTGGCCAGCCTTTGCTGTTTTAGTTAGACTGAAAACACATTTTGAGATAAAGGCATCTTAGTCATCTTTTCATCATACTGGAGGACTTACAAGGCAAGAACCGAACACCTACAGCAGAACAAAAGCCTAAATCAATGTGATCATGGAGTTCCCCCAGGCTCCCATAGGGATCTAGTGAAAGCTTCTGGAGGAAACTCATAGTTTTCTTGTAGTATGCTTGCCTGTAATTATTTGGATTGTAGATTTAAAAAATGCAGTGTACCTAAAGGGCCGAGTCTTGGGGCCCTGTGTAAGTAAACACTGTGATGGAAGGGAGTATAAAAGAGCAGTGACTTGCAAGGAGAGAATGGAAGGATGGGCACAGGATGGAAAACCTTCAGCAGGGATGGCTTCGACCATCAGCATTCCCTTCTCCAGAGAACACTTTGAGCAGTTTTCAGTGTCTGTGCTGAGTTGCTGACAGTATCTTGTCTCTCAAAATTGACTCCATTTATTATCCCACATAGGTATAATGACATGAATTAATTATAACTCACCATTACTGTTCCTTACTGCGCAACTCCCTCTGTGCATTTGGATCTTAGGAGGTTCATGTTCTGAGTCACTGAGCTTTGTGGTCCTGCCAAGTTAAAGCATCCAAACGGGGAGTGAGAGAGTCACAGATAAACACCAGAGCTTGTGGTATTTATGTGTATCTTTTGTGCCACTGAGAACCTCCAGTCACTTACAAAGGCTGTTGAATGTATTCCTTGCATAAAGATATAACCTGTGTTCTGTGAGCTTGATTGACTGCATTTCTTTGACATGGTTACTTACTTAGGGGGTAAAATGAAAATGGTGATGTGTACCGGAACAGCCAGTGATTAGCCTGAATTGTGCTCTGGCTCTTCCAGAAGAGCAGTGGTCATAAGGGGTTTGGGAGTTACATCCTGGGTTGTAGGAGGTATAGGGAAACCAAATGCAAGATTTCAGCAGCGGTAAAAATATTAATATTTTTATTTACATAAAATCTGCTCCATCTTTAGAGCAAAGACTGACTTGCATGATCAGTGTTACTCATGATGCTTGCCTGTTTGACTGTTAAAAATGGCATGTGCAAGCACCTGCAAGCGTAGTATTTTCACATCAACAGTGATGCAAGCTTAATATGATCCCTTTGCAAAGGCAGTTTTAGTATTTTGACTTTTTTTTTCCTTCCTGCAGTCCGTTAGCAGAAAGTGCTTAAGCGTTAGGCTTGCAATCTACAGTTGCACACCTTTTAATCTAAAGTAACTTTTAACTTTCCACTTGGTAGAGTAAATCCTAGGCATTGTACTTCAAGAAAAGCAAAAGAAGTTTAGTAGTACTTTCAAATATTTTCATTTTATTGATTTCTCTAGAAACCTTTTTATTCCCATTTGAAGTAATTTTGTGTATTTTTATGTATGGCTGCACAACAGCAATATTGGATTGCTAAGAATATATCAATTTTCTTCTTATTGTTGGAGGAACCTGAAGAACCCTGGGTTAAAGGAAGCAGCAGAATGAAAATACGTATTTTGGAAGTTGTATTGTCTTCCAGTGAAACAGCTGTCAAGACAAATTCTCTCCTTTCCTTCTTTTGAAAACTCAGTTATTTTTCATTAAAACTGAATTATTAATCTTTGGAATTGCACATTCCATTGACAAAACAAAAGATTTCAAGCCCTTTTGTAAGGGCACAGTACAATCTAACTACGAAATGCCACACGCAGCAGTTTAAGGGTTGTAGACTTCATGGCTTCTGGCTTTTTATATATTCCTGTTAGTTTGAGCCTTTGCATATGTTTCATAAGTCATTCAGCCAACCCTTTCCAGTGAGGTAGACTTTAGACTCAACTGTTCCTAAATCCTTCTGAAGTGGTGTTCATAACAAATTTCTTACTGTTCTGTTCTGTTCTGAAAAGTGTGTTAGGATAATTTGTTCTGGAGCTTCACTGTCCTTACGTTTAGATTCCAATTGTCTTGCTGAAATCTCTTGTGCTTCAGGTTAAGTCCTTTACTCCTTGTGTGTCCCCTGTGGAAATTATAGAGCACTTCATTCCTTTTATAGTGCACTTCATTCCTCAGATGAAATGTTGCATGCTCAAAGACAGTGTATCATAAGATTTCTCTCAGATCTCAACTAAACAGCCTAAATTCTTCTGCATGCATTTCAAGTACCTATTGTCATTTTTTTTCTTCTCATCTAGGCCTTCTTTACTCTTTTTTTTTTCTGAGCTGTGGCATTCGAAACAATAATGAAGACATCAGCTTAGTTCTTAAGAAAAATAGGTGAATCTCTATAAATATCCATGTAGTACTCTGACAAAAGTGTAACACTTCCTATTTTCTTCAGTTCTGTGATGATGTGAATTGCAGATTGAACATGAGTCGGTTGTAGTTCCTGGATCCTTCTTGGCACAATTCCTAGTCAGTCCTCGTTCTCTAGTTGTTCATTTATTTTTTCTGTGAGTGGAATTTGACAGTGGCTTCTTCTGTCACCTTACCTAACTCAGCCATCACTGTGTGTCTTCGTGACATTTCCTCCTATTTCAGGGATTATTTGTGTCATCTCCATCCAGGTTCCTGAGAGTTTAGCCAGCTTGATATGTCAAGGTCCCTGCTTCAAAATGTCAGGAGTCTTGTACCTTGAGGTCCTCTCTTCATCTTTCAGATTCACGTGTTGCTTTGTGCCATGATTACCTCCCCTCTTCCTCCTCTGTGTGAGAGTTGTCAGTTTAATGTGTTATCATTGTAGGATGTTGTAAATACACCTGAGATCAGGAAGCTGTGGGATAGTGGTGTCTAATATTTACAAGATCTTGCACCAGTACAACACTTTGACTTGGCTGAATAGCTTCAGGGGTGCTGGGTGCTCTCCTGCCGTCCAGTTTTAACCAAAATGGGCATATACAGCCACCTAAATTCCTTTAAATCTTCATAGGAGCCTGGGACCACTGTGAATTTAACATCACGGAATAGGTGGCAGTATATAGGATCTTGCTTAGCTCTGCTTGTAATAAGCTAGATGTAGTCTAAACTTCCTTTTTTTTTTTTCCTTTTTATATTATTGATGTGTTGAAATTGGAATCTTGCTGCTGGATTTTCATACTTGGCACCACTCTGTTGAACCCATCAAGGCTCCCCCTTCATTTTTCTGTCCCTATTCCAGTTGTTGCATCACTGTGGCTATTTAGTGCCTGTCTCTGAGTTCAATTGCTACTTTAGATCTGTCCCTCATGCTGAGTTTCCCAGCCTACTTAAGTTTGGAGTTCCTACTCTCTGCCTCCTCCCCATATAAGTATGGAGTCAACAACGCAGTAATTACTTTAATAACCTAGGTAATAAGCAAGTAAGAATCATTTATTGAAGTGGTGATAGAAACTTCCTAAGAAAACAGATTAATATGTTTTCAGAAAAAAAAGGAAGATCTATGGGGATAGATAGATATGGTGTGTGTGCATTTATTATATATACACTAGTATATTTGTCACAAATTTCTATATACAACTTAAAATTTGCTTTGTAGAGTTACAAACTCTCTGAATCTTACATATCAGAAGCACACATTATTACGTAATAATGTTGTAAACCAAAAATACAGCTCTTAGTAAAACAGCTGATCAATTATGAATGTTAATTTTAGTTGAATAAACATGAATGCACTAAGCCAGACTGTGTTGATGAGCAATTTCTTCACTCATAGAGAACTTTTTCATAAGCAAACTTCATTTACTAGTCATGGCCTGGTTGGGAATGTTTGCATTTTCTAAGGCTATTTGTCATTACAGTAATAAGTACCTTTAGGAGGATGAGCCAGTGAGAACTAAAGTGTTCTGTGGGCTAAATGAGAGGAGTAATACAAAATTGGCAAATGTAAATTAAAGTCGGGTGACTATCAATTTGGACAAGTGACATTCTTGCACCTTAATGAAATGCATCCTTTAGCCTATCACAGAAAATGCATCTCTGGTAAATACTTTTGGTAAAAGTAATCTTTTTTGGTTTTTTTTTTTTTTTCAAACTTGCACTCTGAAGAGAAATATGTTGTTCAGATAGGAAACCTCAGTAGTTCAGTTTCAGTTTTCAGGAGTTCTGCTGCTAATAGCTGTAACATAAACATCCCTATGTAAGAATTTATAGAACGTGAAGATAGTTTAAAACAAAAACAAAAAAAACCTGCATCAATTTAATGTACTATATGTACACTGTATGTACATTCTGTAATGTATAACCATCTGATAGGAATGCAAACAGACAAGGTTTTATATACATATATATATGTAATATATTTATGTAATTATTTTTGGATTGTAGAAAGAGGAGTTTAGTCTCAGACTGTTACCCTTCTTTTATGACTCCTGTTGAGATCTCTTCTCTATAATCTTATGATTTAGGATTCAAGTCATATGTGAGTTGTTGCGGCTTAATGAGTTACTGTGTCAGCTGAGATGCTGAAAAAACCCCTGTTCCAAGTACAGCAAGCATAAGCTAAAATACATTAGCTTACATCTCAAAAACATTTTTATTTTACATTTGCTATGAACTAAAAACTTGCATGGAGTAGGTTACCATGGATTAGCTGATACTTATAAATGTGATTTTTGACTTAAATTATGCTAGGTAAACCCTCTGTGACATGACTTTATTGCACTACTTCCATGTAGTGTTAATACCTGACAGCCAGTCTTCACTCTGTTGTCTTTTTTTCATGCAGAGCAAGAGCAATGTATGAAAAGAGCATCTCTAAAGAGGATCCTGTAGTGTCTGCTCCAAAACCCTTGCATGCCAAAACAAACTCTTTTGGCTCATCTGCTTTTGGAAAGCAAACAGAAGTAAAACATTTTGGGTTTTAATATGAAAATGATGTAATCAGTGGTAATATGAATGCTAATAAACTTCTAAATACATAGGGTGGTGGTATAGATGAATAAAGATTAAGAAGCTAGGGAGGTGCAAAGAAGCTGAATATTTTAATGGAAGTGTGAGTTGGAGTTGATCCAGGTAGATTCTTATGTAACTGAGGGAGGTTCTGTTAAATACATAATTTTCAACTACATTAAAAGTTCTCTTCTATAAAATACTCTCCATATAGAGGATATGACTTCTTAATCTAACTTCTTTATTGTCATATAAAAATTTCATCACTCTTACCTGACTAGAGACTAGCTCAAGGAATATTCCTCTCTGTAAGGAAGTGACCTGAGCAATCCTGTACTTGTCCATCAGTATGTGTGGCTGCTGGGTAGTGACCACTATTCCGACTTTGAGAACACAGCTTGGCTGCAGGGAAGATGAGGTACTGTGTGTGGCTCCTCACAGATGTGCAGAAAATACAACACCAGCAGCACATTATAGAACATAACGGATCGTGTGTGTGTGTGGTGAGGGGATCCTCTCATCTCTGTTGATCTTTCTAGTCTCCTGCTCTCAGGCTGTAGGACAGAGCCAGGTTTGCATGTGACCTAGGCTGAGATGGTACTTTAGCCCAAATTAGGTTGTTCTCAGCATAGCAGCTTATTTATCAAAACTTTTCTGGGGGAGGCTTCTGCTGATGGTGGTTATAATTGCTTTAGTACTTCAGAAAGAGAATTTCAGGCATCTGAGTTGGAAGTACCGTTCTGTTATGCTGGAAGATCTGAGCTGACTGTAGAAGATCTAAGAATAAAATTAGGAAGTGCTGCTTTTATAATAATAGTGTTTTTCCATACTAGATCATGACAGATTGCCCATTGCACTCTGCAGGTAAGAGTCCTCCCTTTAAAGGCCTTCTGAATAAAATAGAAATGGAACCCTTATTTGGAGGAAACAGGACTGAGTTTAAAACTAGGTTTTGAAGATGATGCTGATGTTAAGAGCAAAGTTTCTTTACAACTTCTTTACCGTTTCGTCTTTCTGCAAGGACAGGTTATCCCAATTTCTGCTCATGCATGACTATGGCAATGATTTTTATATACTAAGTTCAATATTTTGTTCTGATCCAGTCAGAAGAAGCCCAGGGACATAGGGGTAGCTACAGTCTCTACAGCAAGCCAGCCCATGCAGGAGAAAAGTCAGAACGTAGACAAACAATTCTTTGCTGTAATTGGGTTGGCCTGTGGAAGGAGAAATGCTGACAAGCCTTCTGCCTGTCTTGTGAGCAATTGCCAGCTTCAAATCTGTGTCTCTTTCTCCCAGAGCCTTTCAGCTTCTAATGGCCAAGCTCCAGGCTGGAGACAAGTCCCTTTCATAACTCTTTGGGTCAACTTTGCCTTGCAAGAAGTAGACTCAATACACACAATGCACTTTGTGCGTGTCTGTCTAATATTGCACCCAAAAGTCTCTTTTGCACTTTCCCTCTGTTTCTGTCTATCTTACTTGGCAAATGAGACTTTTGACCCTGGAAATGGTGATGACCAGTGACCTTGACTTTTCTGAAGTCATGTGCAGCTGATGGACATTCCTGTAGGCTCTAGCTGCTCTAAAAGCTTGGCTGTGCCTGACAGGGACATGACTTGTGTGTAGTGGGATCCCACCTGAATCGGGAGCAGGGATGTTGTTGCTGCCCTCAGGAAATAAGGAAGTTTATGGGGTATGTCAGTATTTGATCCTTTAGATAATAAGAGCTGGTGAAGAAGGCAGAAGTAGGGCTTTCAGTAAAAAAAAGTCTGAATTAAATATGTTCAGAAAAGGAATGCACAGACAGGATAGAAAATAATTAGGTTGAGTAAGGAACTCACCCACTTGTTACGAAACTGTGTGAAAGTATTTGGCTCACCAGGGTACAGAAATACTTGTAGAATTTGGGGCTGTGTTGGGAAAACTCCTTTACATGTTCCTTCATGAGGAGGAAAAATCAATTATGCTCAATTAAGGTATCCTTTTTAAGGAAGGTTCTCTTCAGCAGGTGATCTCAGTAGCTGAAGTAATGCATTTAAGTGTATTGCTTTGGGAAAGCTTTCAGAAAAACATGGATTCCTAAATTTGTCCCATGGCTTTGTGAAACTTAAGAACATTATGAGCAGGGAGATCTACAGCCCTTCATATCAAGAGCAAGTTGCTGAGGTTTTTATCTGGCTTGGAGGCAGAAGGGAGCTGTTAGCAGGGTTAGTGGTTGGAAGAACATAGGGCACAGGAGGGGTGGACTGGAATGGTGCTCAGCAATCCTTGTGGGCTCTCTCCTCTTACAGTAAGACTTACCTTTCATTCTGTTTCACTTTTAATTTTGAGAAAGATAGTTTTGCTTTTCAGATGTGATTGATCTCACTGGAGATGATAAAGATGATCTTCAGAGGGCAATTGCCTTGAGTTTGGAGGAATCAAACAGGGCATTCAGGGAGACTGGAATAACAGATGAGGAACAAGCCATTAGCAGGTAAACAACCAACTTATATAAAGCAGAAATTAAATTAAAGAGTTGGAGATTGGCCTGTATTGCTTTTTTAAACTTTTAACAAAGAATAACATGTTTACTTTTACTTGTGCTGCTGGTGTGCCTGGCTTCAGGATGTTGCTTTAATGTATTGTGTGTTCTATTCTGGAAAACAGTCTATTATGTGTGGACTAGAACTTAATAGTATGTTTCATATTGATGTATTTGTTTAAATATGGAGGAAGTAGATGGAGATAGCGAATTCGTGGTCATATTTAAAAAGGACCTAAACTCAGAAGTTTCTCTTGTGTACCAGGTAAAAAACAAAACAAAAAAAAAAAACAACCCAAAATATAATTAAAAATCTAATAAATACTTTGTCCTGTTTTTTGCAGTGTTCATTTTACAGTAACATTTTCTTCCCTCTGTGCTAAGGCTGAGATTGAGGGACTGGGCATTAATATTATGACTTGAGTATACTAAGAGCAGCTGCTCTATTTTGGCTGATGAAGAATGTTATTAACTTATTTAACAAATAAGATTTATAAGCTTTGAGTGAAGTTCTGCATTTAAAGTTTTATAAGCTCTCTCAATTTGGGTGTGATAAGAGTCTTTGAGTTAACTTTTGATCAGATTTTATGATAATTTTTTGTACAGTGTATGTTTTTTGGTAATGTTGAAATAATTATGAAATAGTTGGGACTTGAACTGGGCCTGGATGTAGGGTTGTGTGGGAGGGATGTTTCTTATTTTCCATCTGTAACTGGCCTTGGGAGAAATGTTGAGTTTTTCATTTGTGGCTGGCCTTGTTCAAAGGGAAACAGGCAGTGATTTGATTCTTGATTAGGAGGTTAAGTAATGCCTCCTTGTGAAAGACTAATTTTATAGAAAATAATTTAGATGGGGGAGATTAACCACAATAATTCTTTTTCTCAGTTCATTGTGTTTGCCAGGCAAAATAACTTACTAGAAAATTCAGTCTCTGAGAATGCAGATACTTTATTGCTTAATTTATATTGCTTTATCAACAGTAATTTTCTTTTTCCTTTGAAAAAAATATGGTGATTGTGATAATAAACATACCCTTCCTCCACCCCATCTGTGATTAAAGCCATCTTGTTATACGAATTTAGGATAAAATATTTTAAGAGGGAAAGGTAGGATGAGAGGGTTTTATATCCTCATTAGTGAGTGGAAGAGGCTTTTAAGGAGTTGTTTTTGTGTAAGACTTTGGTATGTGCATGTATACAAGAGAATGGTGGAAGTTCTGTCTGATTTTTTTGTTTTTTGGTTGTTTTTTTTTTTTTTTTTCAGAAGGTCAGCTCTTGCATGTTTCTTTTTGAAGGGCAGAATTGTTGTAATTACAGAGTTGTGATTTGGGCAGGCACTCACAAAGATGGACCTATTTCTGGAGATGGAAAATTTTCTTCCTCTTTTTCCTTCTCCGAGCCTTGACTGTTTCTGCTGTGCTCACTTCTTGTGAGCCTCAAAGATTTAGGACTTTTGCTGTACATTTTGTTTTTCACTTTGATAACAAAAAACCCCTCTCTGATCTTACCTACTTAGCCCATAAGTTAGTATTATAAATGTATTTTACTTGAATTACAGAGTATATTTTTCTGGCTGCAGAAAATATCAAAGTATGCCTTTTTTTTATACGTACAAAGGCATATAGGCAATCTGGTTATTTGCCGAGAAAATGTTGGTCTTATGAAATAGAGACTTGCACCTATGGCAAAATTGCACACAGTAATGTGCAATGCCCCATGAAGAGCTTGTTGCAGGTCATATCCCCCTTGGTGCACTGCCCCACATTTTCTGTGCTTGCTGGAGTGTTCTTTGGACCATTTGTTGCACAAATTCATTTCGCACAAATTCATTTCACAAAGCCATACAAAAATACTCACTGAAGGATCCATAGTATTTCATGACACAAGGAAGGGAATGGGGCTTTGTGAATGGAGGCAGAGAAGAGTGAGGATTTTGAAGGTTTTGGCAGCATTGAGACATTAGATCAACTTAGTAATGTGTCAAGAAGCACTCTGAGCTGGTGGCCAATTATGTCAGTGTTAAACAAATACAGGAAGTTCAGAATTCTTGAATTCTTGATCCAAACTGTTCAATCAGTTTCCTTAAGGACAGAGCTTCAGACTGGTTTTATTTAAAGAAAAAAAACAAGGAAAAAAAAACCGTAAAATCATTTAGTAGTTAACACCCCATGGAAGAATGTTGGCATTCAATAGAAAGCGCAGGATCTGTGCAGAACTTCTCAAAACAAAAAGTAGAACACTGTGATTGTAAACAATCTACAGCCATTTACTTTTGATTTTCTAGATAAAACAAGAAGCAGAAATCAAATAGGAGGTCAGTAATAAGCAAATCTAAACTGTGGAAATATTTAACTTTTAAAAATGTAGGCAATGTGCGTGTTCAAATAGTTTTTAGTATGGAGGATATTTTTTTCAAAGGTATTCATAGTGGTTTGAAACCTAATTTGCACAGATTTTGTTAAGGTTTCCAAGGGAGAATTAATGGAATTTCTTGACTTGTGTAATTAATGTTGTAGTGCACATAGAATTTGTCTTCCTGAATGTAATTGCTTTAGGCTACTTAATGAGGACAGATCTGATTACTGTGTAGGTGTTGAGAGGAGTGCGTCAGAAATGTCCAATTGTCAGAGCTAAACATCTCATACATAGCACGTTTAAAGCCTTTTACGGTTTCCTCTTTAAATCTCCCAGGGAAATGTGCATGATCAGTGTATTTCCTATTGTCAAAATGTTTCTCCTGTTTATATTACTTTTCCTGGATTGAGGGAGTCTGAGGCTGGCCAAATAGAGCTTCACTAGGGAAGCCAGTGAGATATTGCTCGAAGGAGAAATCAGCTGTTATGCCTCTGGTAGTGTCCATATAAAAATGACTGCATAAGGATGTGCACAGTCCCTGGACTCTTTTCTAATCTCGCTCATTAAAACTGCTGGGGACTCTGTGCTATGCGTGTTTAGATCCAAGGTGACACTGAAATGTTGTAGTCAGGTTATATTCCTGGATGTCCAACTGTAAGACAGTCACAGTACAAATTACAAATAGCTTCTCATGCTCTTTTAGCTGAGTAACCTGACAGAGTGGCATTTTCTGCAGCATGTTGAGTGGGCTTCCTCGGAATGGTTTGGCTGAAGCTTTGTGCTGAGGGCTTGCCTTGCCCAAGGGTTTTTGCTTTGTCTGGCGAGCCCCGTGCAGTTGTGTAAAAGCTGCTTGGCTGTGCCCAGCTTGTTACAGAGAAATAAAATGCTGCTTTCAAGTCTCAGGCCAAGCCTGGCACTAACTAACCCTGCTACAGCATTTCCCTGCAAACAAGATTCCAGCCCTCGGAGGTGGGGGAGCCCCAGGTCCCGTGAGTGCGGGGGATGCCAAGGCCTGCACGTAGCTGATGGCTGTGAATGTGCTCTTGTCCCCAAGGGTCACCAAGTGGGGCTTTAGCTCTGTCATCAGAATTGCTACATCCTTCTAATAACTCTCTGGAAGGATGCTTGTTTTATCGAGCAATATAAGATTCTTTTTTCAAGTGTCCCAAATTGTGACTCTATGAATGTAAGACAGTGCACATTTTAGTATGAGAAATCCTCACTGTGCTGGTAAATAAATTTATTTATGCAGCTTTTGAGCTGATCATTAGGCTCCTATTTACTGTGCTCACTACACTTTATTTCACTTTTCATTTTTGATCTAACTGAATTGCAGTTATCATTATGTCTGAAAATTAATTTGGCACATGGAATGTGCAGTTATTGCATGTGCTCTCTGAGGGCAGATAATGTTATAAGTAGAGTTAAGGAAAAAAAATACCATGAAGCCTTCAGAATCAAATACTTCCTTAACACATGGAAACACATTTGAGGAGGAGCTAGAGATGAGTAAATCCCTTACCTGCTAAAGAAATACAAACTCAAATATAAGGAAGAAATTTTCCAAGGTAATTAAGCTGATGAATAATAATACCCAAGGGGTCAGGGAACTGTTTCAGTTTGAGACTTTATTTTTCTGAACCTGAATCTTGAAATACCTTGAAATATTCTTGAGCTTGGGTAGAGAAAAAAGGGAAGATTGATTGTTTACCTGAAAGAAAAGTGGTGTGAAGTAGGTATTGTAGTCCAGTTGCAACATCATTTAAATTTATTCCGGAATGTCAATCTTCCTGCCAGTTTTAAAGGTCTCTTCAGTTTAGTTTAAACAAGATTTAAAGCAATTCTACCTGCATGTGAAATTATTTGAACTATGTATGATATTTTTTAAATTGATTTTAATGTCCTCATTGACCAACTTCTGCTCTCAAAACAGAGATACACAGGTCATCTAACACTTGGGAAGGGTTGTACCAGTGAAAAGGGAAATGAATTTGGCTGCTTCCTTATATTTTGGGGTTTTCTTAGTAGAAGACACTATCAGAAATGACTCTTAGAACAATCAGCTACTGAAGAGCCAGGTGCCATCCCTCTGTAGTTTGAAGACATGTCAGAACAGAAAGTCTTAGTTGATTATATGCCTGTTCTCTCAGTGCTGTGTACAAGGTGGTTTAAAAAACTAAATTGGTTAATGCTTAGGAAACTACCAGTTTTAGGTTTTTCCTGACACAAATTGATACCCTTGTGGTATTTGTATTAAATGTTCTCAAATTTATAATGCCTCTCTTTTATAGCATTTTTTTTAATAATTTGTCATTGATACTTATTTATGTCCCTCAGAGCAGTTATCTGTAGTAAATTATTGTGCTGCTTCATAATTCTTGGAAAGATACTTTTTCTTTCTTTGACAGGAACATAGAATGAAATAAAGGTGCAGTTAGGAAACTGAGGGATTATGGGGACAGGGGTTGTCTGTTTCTGTGTTTTTTCTCCAATGTCCCACCTTAGGAGCTCCCTTTACAGACCAAGATAAACCTGCTGTTCTTTGGTGTTTAGTGAGTCTAGAACTGAGAGGGGTCAACTCTTCATGCTGCTCAGACTGTTTATGTGCTCGTGATGCAGCTTGTGAAATCCTGTGCTTGGTGTTGGAGAGTAGCTCAGCCTTCTGTCTGAGAGTTAGACTGGATGGCTGGGGACAGTGGCTACTGTGTGTGTCAGTAATGCACATGCCAGGCTCTTGGCTTATGAGTTAGAGCACTGCCACCTCACTGCACCCATCTCCATCCTTCAGTTACAATATACGTACCACAAATTACTTTTAAGGTGTACTTTATCACCAGGCTAAGTGTACATGCTGGTACAGAAATAATGTGTTGAGTGAAGCTTGAGTTGGAGAGCTTCACTCCCATCAGATCTAACTGTCATGTGAAATACGGATATTCAGCATAAATCACATAGGAACAGTTTCCAGCGAAGAAAGCGGTCATTGAAGCATACAATTAAAGTGTTGGGTGGCATTTGAAAAATTGCAGGGAGATGTCTTTGCATGGCTCATAAAGTAATTACTTGCCATGTAAAGTGATTAACACAGTTGCATAAGCTGCAAAAATGGAAACTAAGAAAACTGCTTTCATTTTTGAAAGTTGCCTAGCTAGCTTTGGCTTCCTGTCAGTAAACGAAAGATCTGTGACTTTGTGCTTCACATAGCAATAAAAGCATTTGTAGATGAAAGCACTATACTATTAGTGCTACCTAAAATTTGTCCATCCTGTTTGAATCTGGTTCTTAAATAATTGATGACTTGCAGACATGGCTCTTGTATCTAGAGCTCTCACAGGAGATTCATTCACTCACTGATACCATTTTTTAAAAGGTAATGGAATTACTGTAACATAGCTAAAAATAAAACAGCATCTTACCTTTAAAGATGTGTTACTGCATATAATATAATAAATTGCATATATTGCTGAGCAACAAAAGGTGAATGATGTCACTATGATGTCTGTATTACTACCTGAATGTATTTACTCTTTGATGGTGAAGGTGTTTTTGGTTTTTTTTTCCCGGGGTTTTTGATTTTTTCTCACATTTTTCCCTCCCTTCTGTTCCCAAAGAGTACTAGAAGCCAGTATTGCAGAAAATAAAGCAAGTTTAAAGAGGACGCATCCAGAGGTATGGAGTGACTCTCCAAACCCTTATGATCGAAAGCGGCAAGACAACTGCCCAGTAGGATTAAAGAATGTTGGCAACACGTGCTGGTTTAGTGCTGTCATTCAGGTAAGCACTCTTCAGCTCTGCACACTCTTCATTGTATCTGTTGGGAGGTGAGTTTGCTTATTTTAAGTGAATAGCTTAAAATAATCTGTTTTCCTGGGAAGTTTAGGCCAGTGCATGAGATGTTTTTGAGCGTTACACATTGCATCTCTTAATGTGTCCATCCATATGTGAGATTGAAGTGTAGAAAGTCCTGGTAGCATATCTAAGTGAAGCTTCAAAATGTTTCTTATTAAGAAGTTGTTGAAGACAAGGGGTTGACTCTCTGAAGATCTTGGATGTGTGCAGCTCATGCTGACATCAATGACAACTGTGGATGCCTAAAAGCATCAGAAAATTGGATTACAGATGAGGAACCGACTTTTTATATTAAAAGGAATGCATGCAAATGACTGAAAGGGGGTGGCTGACAGTGGAGTTAGGTGGAGGAAATGAGACCCTCAGTCATGGAGCGCGTGCTAGAATGGCTACAAGGTGGTACATAGCTGGGTAGGGTAAAAGGAGGACTAATTGATAAAGAAGGAAACTTCAGAAGAATAAAGGGGAAGGTCTGTTACGGATATGATTGCATCTGGTTTTGGTTGTTTTATGTAATACAGTGTGTGTGTTGCTTTTTTTTTTTTTTTGCAAAGATAGGGTGAATAGGGGAATGGGTACAGATACTGCAACTTGCCTCCTTAAAGCTAGTGTTCTATTACCAATAATGGATGTACATAAACTTTATGAATCCATCTTTTAGGAGACTTTTTTTTTAGAAGTGATTCCTAAATCTGTGTATATTTCAGTAAATAATCTATAGATTTACTGAAAAGCATCCTAACTCACAGAAAACTGAGAGTGAAGCTGGAATACTATAGTAGGAAATTAATTTTTAGTCTACAAGAAACAAATTCAGAGTATTGTAACTTCTCACAATTGGAGGTTTTGAGACGAAGAAAATAAAATATTTAATACCCATTTTAAAAAAATTACTGTCAGGCTGAAGCACTTCTGATAAAGTAATACTGTTACTTGCATACTGGCTCTTGAAAGATGGCTGTTGTACTTCAGGCTGAGTCCATTTAGATCAATGTTCTGCCCAGCAATTTCCACAAATGGATGCTTACAGAGGAGTACAAACAGTACTCATGCTACTGGTAAAACACTTCTGAGCCTCTCACTACTTTTATCTTGGAAGAGTTTTTTGATCCTTTGCAGTTTATTTAGTTGGTAAACCCCAGGAGAACTCCCTTCTGTGTACTTGTCTTCCTTGTACCTTGTGAGGGTACTTCGCATAGGAATTCCTCAGTTGTGCTTCCTATTTTATGAAGAACTGTTTTGGTTTTGTGTGGTTTTTTGAACCTGGCTCCCACTATCTTTGTCCAGTAGCCTCCATGTCTCCTGGTGGGCCAGACAGAAGTTGATTGCCATTACGGTCCTGTGGGCTGCTGTCCTACTCTCTTTCAGCACCTTGGTGGTCTCCTTTTTCCAGGCTGGATGCTGAAATGCCGCCTGTAGTATCTGCTCTAAACCCTGACTAGCTTTGTTGCTGTTCTCCAGATCTTTTCTAGCTAGGAAAGCTCTTAAGATGTGAGTGGTCTATGAATTTGGAGTTGTGTGATGGAGATACAGGCTCTTTGGGAAAGGCAAGTAGGGATGAGAGGGAGGCACTGCCTTCCTCCTGAAGGAGTAGCTGAAATGTGTGTGGTACCTGTGTGGAACAAGGTGACAGTTTAGAATAAGAGTCTGTGGATCAGGATCAAAGGAGAGGCTGGTAAAGGTGCCACCAGGATAATTCTGTGTCAGAATACCCTCCTCAGGATGAGGATGTGCACACAGCCCCCTGAAAGGCAAGGGAGTCTTTGGATTACTGTCCGTGGTTCCCATGGGAAACTTTAATAAGCATCCTGACCCTCTCTGGATCCAACACAGCAGGACACAAGCAAAGCAGATTAATAGAGGGTATCAGGGACAGCTTCTTGATATGAGCACTGATGGGCCACCTAGGGGTGATGCACAGCTGAATCTGCTGCTCCCTAAAGTGGGAGAACTGGAGATGGACCAGTGTGGGTACACTTGACTGCAGCAACCATGAAATAGTGGAGTTCAGGATCCTGATGGGAGCAAGAAAGGAATAACGGGACCAGCGTTCAGGAGAGCAGACTTTATCTTCTTCTGGAGCTTGGTATTTCAGATTCCCTAAGTGGCAACTTGGAAGGCCAGAGATGCTCAGGAAGGCTGTCACAATTCCCTGATTGCCAGAAGGGTTTGTTCTGCTCTCAGGATGCTCATAGCCAAGCTTCAATGTCAGCAGGCAGTGTGCAGGGTCTGCAAGAGAGATGGGCTGCTGAAGAGGAGATTGGAAATGTCCTGGCAGGAAGGGATGGTATGAGGAAAATGAAACCTGTCCTGGAGCTGGTGCCTCAAAGGTTGTCTAGGGTAACAAGAAATGGTTTTGGTGTTTTTCTACTCATAAAGGGCTGGGTGAGGATAATGTTGCTGAATGGAGCAGGTGAGGTACTCAGTGCCTTGCTGTGTCTCAGTCCTTACCAATGAGATCTCCAAGACCATTGTTCATAGTTGAGGGAACCCTGAACAGGGGTTAAGGATTTCATCAGGTTGCTTGGGGAAACCTGAGCCACAGAAGTCCACAGGACCCACTGAGCTGCTTTTAGCTATGACTAGAGACAGTGGGAAAAAGCCTTTGCAAGGCAGCTCTCTCATTTTTGAAACGTTGTGGAGAATAAAAGAGGTTTCTGATTAACTGGAACCAGGCTTTTTAGGGCAGTGCATATTGGGAGGATGAGAGGCAACAGGAGTCAGTGAGATAAGGAAGATTAGGCCTGGATATAAGAAGCATTTTTTTCCATGAAGACAGGCAGGCAGTGGAGATTGCCCAGAAAGGCTGTGCAGGGTCTGTCAAACTTTGGAAACTTTCAAGATGCCTGAAAAAATACCCCTGAGTAGCCTGGTCTGATCTCACAGATGACCTCCTGACAAGAGACTTCCATCAGTATCTTCTGAGCTGAATTATCCTGCTATTCTGTACTAATATTTTCTGTTTCATTCTGTCTTCCCTTCTTGATTGCTTTATTCTGCTTTTTAACTATGATTCTGCTTCATGTGTTGATCTGATACTTGCGTGGAACCATCTGCCATAAATTCAGAGTTTTGAATAACACTAGTTAGTTTGGTGCCCATAATTTTCTATAAATTCCAGAGTTGCTTTCCACCGTGTACCTCACTGTACACAAAGCAGTTTTGAATTTAGTTTTCTTGTTACATAGATACTCAGTCTCGTATTATGTTTCTGTGAGTTCATCCTTTCCAACTCTTGTTTTTATTACACTGCATATCTCTACTGAGCAAACATGGTAAAAACTTGCCATTCTTTTTAGATCACTTCTGAATTTTATTTACCAGTGCAACATTTGTGAATTTGCAGTTATCTCCCTTCAGGCTGGAACAGGTGGCTGGCTCTTGCTCCTCTCTTAATTTTTGATTGCTTATTTGTTTGTGCCTGGACCTTCCATCTCACCTCACTGATGTGTAGTTAAAAACTTTTGTTGAATGACTTTTTCAGAAATTACCTTGAAATCCCAATAGAGTGCATAAATTGGGTTACTGTTATCCATGTTCTGCTTGACTTGGAGGTTTTTAGTTTTGTTTGTGGTGGGTCGATTTGTTTGTTGGTTTGGTTTGGTTTTTTGATGGAAAGTATTTACCTACCTTCAGGTTGTGTGTAGGTAACACTGTAGGTAATTAAATGGAAAGACTTCTTTGCTTTACGGCCCCCCTTTTCCATTGAAATTTTTATGTTTTTAGGCCTCTCTTCTTTCAGCATTTAGTAATCTAACAAGTATTTCAATTTTCTGTGATCCTGTAGATCTTTTGTTGTTTCCCTTGTTCATCTATCCTCCTTTCCTTATTTCATTGCATGCATGACTCTTTTTGCAATAGCAGAAAGCAAATACCATTTTATTTCCATAAAGATCTTTATGGAGCTAATGTGACTTGATGTTTTACCTTCTCTGTTGTGTAATCAGATTTTACATTCCTGGTAGTCCCAAATCTAAAAATGACTGATTTTATGTGCATGTTCATTTCTGTAAAAGACTTGGGAAACTGCAAATCTTTAAATAAATGTTTTCATGGAAACTCGAATTTTTGATTTGTTAACCAGAGATAAGAGCAGAGGCCAGAGAATATAAAAACCTGTGCTAGACCTATGATCTCATGTTATTTATACCCAGAGTGCAACTTTATACCTTGAAAACAGATGAGAAGGAGACCTGGCTAGTTCTTTGGTCACTAGCCATACCATGTGAAAGTCTGTGGTGTCTGGAATTATAATGGCTTGATCCTAAAAGATAGCAGAACCTCTGGAGTTAGGTCTGTGAAATGCAATTCAAGCAAACCATTGAAAGATTTATAACTTCAGTTGGTTGAAAATTTAGGTTATTAATATTGTCTGTCAGCCAGGAAGATTTATGTTTCAAGCAACCATCCCAGGAAATTTAATGCATGTTAATTTAGAACATTAGCTAATAGCATATTTATTTATCCACAGAGCAGATTGACTACTTGGGTTGCATTGACTATGTGGAAGTATTTTCTTGCTTTCTTTGGGAGGCTTTTGTAACCTGACACATCACATAGGTCAACAATATCTAAATGTTAACTACTGTCAGTCACAGTGATATATTGTGTAATATAATCTAAAACTAAATTGCAAAGAAAGAAAAATCTCCCTTCTATTTAAGGAGTTCTTGTTGAGGAAAAAAATGATTTTGACATTTTGATGCTTTCCTTTTGCAATGTATGTTTTTTATAGGCACCAATTAACTGACTTAGTGAAATGCAGTCCTAAATAGTTTGTTGTATTTGCATTAAGAGCATGAAATTCCTCAAGAGACGTTTGCAGTGAGTGACAGCAAACTCTTAACAGAATTCAAACATTGCTGGAAGTGCTGCCTTTAACCTATATTTATGGTTTAAATGCTGCCTATAACCTATATTTCCTT